TTTCAGCTTTTCGTCTCACTGTGTTGGAGTTCGAACTTCCAATTCCGTTTCAAAACTGGCTGTTCGGTGCTCCTCTTCTGTTTCAGGTTTGGAAATTAAGGGAATAAGTTTGAACGAGTTCTCAACTTTTTTTCAATTTAGAATTCTTGTTTAGATTAGATGTATATGGATGTCAATTTTTTGTCTCCGGTGAAAGGGTTAGATTTTGGTGTGATTTAATATTTCTGTTTGATTGCTTACAATGTGTTTGATGCTTGGTTTGGTTCAACAAGCCATCAAATGTGGCGTTTTAGCTTACATATAATATTGCAGTTGATAGCATTGGTGTTGGCATATGTTTGGTGTTTGGACTGCGGTGAAAAAAAATTGATTTAGAGTGAATTGATTCTGTAAAATTGATTATGGTTAAAAGTGTGTCGAATAACTTTATGCAAACTTGAATTGAACTGTAAAATTCAATATAAAAATCACGCACAAACTCAAAAGCTACAAATTCTAGTTTCAACTTGAATCAATTCTACTTTGATGTTTGAACCTTATTCTACAGGTTCACTATAATCAATGATGTATATGCTTGTGGCTTTATGCAAATGTGAGCAACATATTCTTTGACTAGAAAATTTACTCTATTGATGCCACCTAGCTGTTTCTCTGAGAGATTTTCGTGTAAATTTTGATCTGAATGTCTTTGCTGCTCTTTCATGCATGAACCCTATTCTACGATTTCATTCTGTAAGCAAGCATCTCTTATTAGACAACTGGATTCATATCATGATCATGTTATGTTAAATGTTGTGAATAGTTTTCAATTCGGTTGTTTTGTAATTGCCAACTCGTACTTCTAAAAGGGAGAAGAGATAAAAATAGAAAATAAACCTTGTTATCAATAGTTAGTCATGGGATGTCTATATACTTGATCTGCAGACCCTCTTCCAACTGTTTCTGAGACAAAGTTAAATTTTCTCAAGGCATATAAGCGGCCAATACCTAGTATTTACAACTCCGTGCTTCAAGAGCTAATTGTGCAGCAACATCTGATGAGATATAAGAAGTCATACCGCTACGATCCTGTATTTGCACTTGGCTTTGTTACTGTGTATGATCAGCTCATGGACGGGTATCCAAGTGATGAGGACAGAGATGCCATCTTCCAAGCATACATTAATGCATTGAAGGAAGATCCAGAACAATACAGGTTAGAGAATGAATGATATCTCAACAGTCTGTATGTCTGTGCGTGTGTGGTTTGAAAAATAAAGATGTTCAACTTAATGATTGATATATAGTGGTTGTAAGTCGCAATAGACCGTCTTAAATTAACTCACCAAGAATCTAGCGGTGTATTTTGTGGACAGTGGGGTGGTTTGAAGACAGGATTTTGGCACCCCAAATCACGTTCGAGTAGAGCTGCAAATTGTATGTTCTGCATGCTACATGATTTTGTGATTTGTGAATCACTTTTGTTTGGCTCTATTATACAGTTGATACATGTCCTAGTTGCTAAAAATGTTATTTTGTGGAGAAAGATGGCCCTAGTTGCTAAAATTGTTGTGTTGCGGAAGATGGTACAATCAAATGACTCTGTCACTCACTCATGATTGTTTCTTTTGAAGTTTGAGTTAATTTTTGTAATTGGGAAGTATGGTACTAACTGATCATGAAAGCATCATTAATCTCATTGATGATTACTGTGAAATGTAAAATAGAAAGTAGTTTTAGGCTTTAGTATGCATGTTGAGAAAATAGTAGAGTGGATTAATTTTCCTACGACATGTTTGTATATCAAGAAATGTACCTGAAGTAAAAAGAATCTTGTAGCTCAAGTGCAGGCAGCATTGTATGTGGATTTGTATGTTATATCCTAGATTTGAATAAACTGCACGCATGAATTATTTTTTCTTACGTCAAATGATCTTAAATATTGTGCCCATTGCAGAGTAGATGCACAGAAGTTGGAAGAGTGGGCTCGTGCTCAAAATTCAAGTTCCCTTATTGAGTTTTCATCCAGGGAAGGAGAAGTTGAGGGGATCTTAAAGGATATTGCAGAGAGAGCAGGTGGAAAGGGGGATTTCAGTTATAGTCGATTCTTTGCAGTAGGCCTTTTTCGCCTTCTTGAGTTGGCGAATGCAATGGAACCGACAATTTTGGAAAAGGTTATCCGATTAATTTAAGTCATCATGATACATTGATCCCAACTTACTCTAATACTCATTTTATCATTTATCATGTTTTTATATTTCAAAGTTTATTCTATCAAGTCAAATTCTGTACATCAGTTCTAGAAAACTAATCATTGAAGACAGTCCAGCTTATTTGGATGCCCTATTGCAAACCTATTTGGATTAGCTGGAGCGGTTAAATGACTTTGATATATTGATTTCTCTTCCACCAAGTTCAGGCTTCATTAGTGGATTTTCTCCCATCATTTCCTTTATTTATTCAGGAAATTGATTTCACTATTTTATTTCTGCTGAAATTATTGTATTTTTCAATTACTATGAAGGAATATGCTTCATTCACTTGTAATGAACATTTTCCACATGGCACAAAAATTGTTGATAAAACTTGTCACATTGAGCATACAGATGATATTACTAGGACACTGCATCGGATGCTTTAAATGTCAAGATTGTGAAAGTGTCTATATTCCACTAATAATAATTTTGTGTGTGGGAAGTATTTATCAATTAACCTCTGGTTTGAATCCAACAGCTTTGTGCGGCTTTGAATATCAACAAAAGAAGTGTGGATCGGGACTTGGACGTGTATCGCAATCTGCTTTCTAAGCTGGTTCAAGCTAAAGAGCTGCTGAAGGAATATATTGACAGGTACCCATAAATATTACGATACTACTAAGTTGTTCTTGCATCTCTTGGATTTTTCACATATGATGTATAATCTTTGAAAATAAAATTTAGCGAGTTTATTTTTCCCATATGCTACATTTAGTCTGCACTAGCCCATTTAGTTCAAGATTGAATCAACATTCTTATTGTCCTTTTTACGAAAATGAGGTCAGAAACTTCCAAGCAGCTTATTAACATAATTTCTGCATATTCATGACAGTACATTTTCTACATGTTTTGTTTTGGTTATAACTTGTTTTTGTGGTAAGATTTTGATTATGATTCCTTGGAATAATCTTTTACTTCAGGGAAAAGAAGAAAAGAGAAGAAAGGACTGAACCACAGAAGACTAATGAGGCCATTACAAAATGATTTGGACAAGACCAAACTTCTTACACGTTAATCTGATAAAAATTTGGTTTCCTTGACTTACCTTTTGTTTGTTTGCGGCTTTGGATATCAGAACGGGGCTCTTTTATCATCTTGGTTTTGCATACTGTATTTGTTGTATCTTTTGTGATGGGGATTCAGGTAAATTGTTGTTTCAGTTTAAGCACAATTATTTCACCCATTCAACACATTCGTATGTATTCTTTTCTTACATGTATTTTTTCTCTTGTTCAGTGGCATATGTATTGTATACTTGTAGTTCTCAAATACATAATTGAAGGCAGCATATATATATATTCTGATAGCTGAAATTATTCATGAATTTACCTATTGAAGAAAGGTGTGAAATTTGCAATCTTGAATTGGATATAGATACTCCGTTTTTATATAGAGATGTGCAAAAGCATTGCTACAAGGAAGACATTTCAACTGTATATGCACTCCAATCACTCCCAATCATCGAGGTCACAACTCAATATTTGGGGAAATAATGAAATCAGAGGACAGACCCTTTCACACTAAAAAAATAAATAAAACACTGGCATTTTTTTTACAACTATATTTTGTACAAATTAGGTATTTTCTGCATTCAACTACAGAGATTAAATTTCGAGTTGACTATGACCATAATAGACTACAAAACTCTTTTTCAAAAGATTTAACACTATTGTATGTTCAGGACTGAGTTTGAAACTATAACTCTAAGATTTAACACTATTGTATTTTCAGACTGATAGTATGTTTGGTTCTGCGTTGGATATACCAAAACCACCTCAAATTGTCACGTATTTGTAGAAGTTACTATTTGTAGCTTCTGGAATTTTACGGTGGGAATGCTTTGGGACGAGGAAAAATTGAATTGGATGCAGATCCAAACATATGCTGAGTTTGAAACCATAACCTTGGTTAATAACTGGCATTTGACTTTTACTTATCCATCATTATTTACAAAATTAAAAATATTCTGATCAACTTTAATGTCATTAACTTAATTGATCAATTATTGCTTTGATATTTTTTTAAAATGTGAGATTTATTTAAAAAATGTAAAAAGTGTGTGAAACACAAAAATATTCTAATTCACTTTAATATCATTAACTCTTCATCGATCAACATTGATTCAAAATTTTGAAGTGGTAAGGCCTAGACTACTCTTTGTAAAATTGGGGATAATTTATTCTCAATAATATATATTAATAAAATTTTATCATAAAAAATTAATTTTTAAAATCACATATTAATCAAAAATCTTAAATTATCGAGTCTATGCCTTTTCTCACTTAAAAAGAGTTTAATATCATATTTTCTATCGGATGTAAAAATCATTACTCACTTAACATACCAACATCTTACTACTAAAAAATTATTAGTATATGATTTTAAAATTTTACTATATAAATGATAAATTACCTCTAAAATTTGAAAGGATAACCAAGAATTACCTTTATTTAAAACATATCCAACGTGTGTCATAACAAATAATTTATTTTTTGAATCACTTGTTTGAATGGTTTGAGACGTGCAAAACACCATTTTTTGAGTCTACCACATCTAAAGCTTAATGCAAATAGGGTTACTGGAGATCTAAGCAACTGGAAGAATACAATTAGTGTATCCTAAAACTTCTGCAACCATAATGCTGTAAGAATTGAGCAAATTGGATGATAAAGTGAAAGAATGAAAGCAAATACAAATATTAGGGAGGGATTAACACTTAGCGGCTGTAGAAAATGTCAAACTGCATAACTCTAAAGAATTTAGGAACTAACTAAGTTCAGAAATATCAACCTCATCGGGGATTCTAAATGTATCCGCTGCACCAAACTTTCGAAATTCTTCTGCCAAAGAGTCTTCTTCTACTTCTCCATCACTGTCATCTTCTTCATTGTCGTGGTGTGGCGAAGACGGATCATACATGCTTTGAGACTTGCAAATATGAGTGGCTAGCATGTTAACCTGACCGTGGTGAGAAATCTCTACCACAACAGTATCATCGTCAACAGGAAGAGGTTGTTTCCAAGGTTCGCCATCCATCCTCATGAATGTATGATCTGCTCCACCTTTGCAAAACTCAAATCGGATTCTATGTGCCTAATGAAACAATTGAGAAGGATAAATAAATTATACGTTATAGATGTTTTTTTTACCGTGGTAATATGAACCATGCTTACCTGAGCAAGACGAGTTCCATGTCCTTTTGGAGCAAGCAAAACAAGCCCATGCCATGCATTTCGGAAACCAACAACTTCTATAAGGCCATCATCCACATATGGTGCTGTCAAATCTCTCTGTTTAATAAAAATAAAAAAGAACTTCAAAACTGAAAATAACAGAAAAATTAAAAATGACTAGAATAATAGTATTGAATATTTAATGGTCTGGTTTTTAACTAATCTCAAAACTAACAAAAAAGTTCACAGAAAAAAAGAAAATTTAGAATTGGCATATGAATTTTCTGAAATTCTAGTCTGTATGGTAATTGGTTAAGTACAATTCCATAACAGACCGAGTTCAAATGCCAGTGACAGAAAACAGAGGAAGCAAAAGAATTAGAATATGACTATTACATCATGTTGCTTCTTCCTGTTCGGTGTACCCCATGGATTGAATCCACCAGAAAAGCTTGGCAAGTTAAGACATACAATTGACCTGATGCTGTGCATAAAATACAATGAAAAAAGTCAACACAATTGTTACTCGACTAGTAAAAACATCGATACACCATGAGTTTTGTTGCTAAAATATTTTATCTTTGTCAAGTTCAAAATGCAGGAGTTTATATTGTTAGTGTTCTAATAAAGATATAGATAGTATATAAAATGATTTACCTGGGAGGTATGTATAGGTCTTGCCATTGACCAGGTTTTTGCATGAACTTTACTTTTGTAAGTTGTGCTATGTTCCTGCATTAGAAAATCAAATTATATTTACCTATATAAACAAATTGTAAACATGATGACTCAGCAAGCAAAGTGTGAAACTATTTGAGAACACGAAACTATTTGGTTTTGCTTCCAGCATCGTTGTCATATCCATGTACAGAGGTACTAAATTAGGCACTACATAATTATTACATGATTTTGAGATTGGATTTGATGCTGCTATCAGTTCAGTTTTTGACATTATTCAAGTTGATAGCCTTTTCCCCAAGGATTTATTAACAATAACAAGTTCATAAAGTTTGACACCAGAAGTGTATGTAACAAGAGTAAATATTTATGCATTTACATTTCATAAAATTTGAGATCGTAAGAAACAATGTAAAATTTATGAGAAAAATATGTAAGTCAGAGGTGCTACCAACGACAGATCTCAGTGAACTGACCTTGAAGCAGGATGGATTAAAGGGGCAAAAAACCATCCTTGTGTGCATCCAAGCTTAGCATACGTAGTCTAAAATGCCAATCAAAGTTAGGAAACACAATATCAGGTTTCAAAAAGTAGATGAATGAGTATAACTATCTCTTTTCAAACAGTTATCGAGATTTTCCTTTCAAAAGTCAGAAAGTTAAACAAGTAACGCTGCCAACCATTTGCACATATAATTGCTAGATAAACAACTGCGTACCTGATTCACCAGCTGGTTTTTGAATTTTTCGGGATTCAGCTTTCGTTCAGAATGAAATGCATAAGATACTTGAGCATCCATTCCTATAATCAGCAATTACAGATATTTCAACAAGTACTGAAGTTAGGTGGACCTAGAAACAAATTCACCCAATATAATCTAAGATCTGAAATATTCTTGGAACCAGACCAAAATGAATGGATTCTTTCCTAGTAGAAAGCTCATTCATATGGTCCCACAACCCACAACATCGAGTTCAGGTTCAAAAGAAATGAGGAATAACTATTTTTACTTACCCATGCTGAAGTAATTCCAAAATCCACCACGAAAAGTGAGGTAACCATCCTGAGAAACAATTAAAGCAAAGAGGAAGATGAGGTGAATCGGAAAGAATACTCTCTTCTAAAGTTCATATATTAAAATCAAGAAGAAAATTCAGTAAAACCTACAAAACATTTTGTATCACTAGTTTGCATTGTCCCTCTAGCAATTAGGCTTCTACTATGGATGGCGAAAATCAGATATTTACTAACCCAATATCTTCTGATCAATCTTCAATATAGTTAACGGTATGATGTTTTACCATATTAAGTTCATCTGCTTCAGATACACGGTGGAAGGCATGCAAAGAATGTGGCAGCTCAAGTGGCGGAATTGGATCGCAGGAACCTTCTTTTGGAGTCCTCATCCTCATAAGAATATGCCAGCTGAAGTATAAGAAAAATCTATTACAATTATCAAACAGTATTTGCAGAATAAATCTATGCAGTGGCACAATAGAAGTAACTCAGGTGCCAAGTCATCTAGTTATGAAAATCATGATACGGCTATAAAAATAAGAGAACTATCCTAGTCATAGGATTAAAAAATAGGCCGAGAACTCTTTACTTGTCTATTTTCATTTCCTTGGCCTTCATGACTTGATCTAAAAATGCCTCAACTGAGCGTTGATCTGTCCCTGGGTTCTTCTTCCCCTATAATGCAGCAAAAACCAATTGCTTTCTCATTTATCATCAAAATAGAAAATCTTCGTACATTAGAGAAATTGGGTGGAAATTTGTAATCTAGTACATGGAAAACATGCAAGAAATTCAGGAATAAACCAGCATAATAACATACCCCCTCTCTCATAATACAAGAAAAGGAATACCGACACCATAAAAGTTTTTCATGTGAAAACTAACTAAAAATCTTAAATCTCCCGGCATCAAAATAAAACTTGAGTTTCCTACCCAACCAAATGCAAAAGGTAGATTATTCCCAGTGCCCAAGGGAACAGTAGCAATTGCGGGCGGATGAGATAATTTGAGATCACAAACAACTCCAAGTAGCCAGCCTGCTGTTCCATCACCCCCTGCAACCTGAAGACAAGTGCAAAGTATTAGAAATTCATAACATAGAAAGATCATAGCAACAAAAATTTGCTTTGGTTGCTTACAAAAATGGTAAAATCAACCCATCAAATTCTGTATCACAACTCACAATTAACTTCAACCTCTCTATGATCTTCATAGCAAACTGATCACCCCTTTTCTTGAGGCTTTCCAAATTAGCATAGATTGTTATTAGCGCCTTATCGGGGGGATGTTCCCCCAAATCAAAGACCTGAAATTTACATTGCTCCACTCAGCTCACTTACAAAACTCGCATAAATGAGTCACCATTTTAATCTTTGAAATTGATCAACTCATGCAGTACTAAGGATGAAGATTGTGGAAATGAAAATAGTCCATGCAAGACTAATGATACCTGTTTTTCATTAAGAAGTGCACGGTAGGTTAGTAAGAGGTCACCTCCAAGCTGACCACCACTCTTGGAGTTGATAAAAACCAAGACAGGACAGTCGGGCACGACCGGATCATCATCACATTCATGAAATCTCTCAACCTTGGAGGACTCCGGTACAAGAATGTAATCTGGAATCTTAAAGTTGTTCAAGAACTCTGCAGCCATTGTTGCATGCAGCTGCACAAACTCATAGACATAGATTAACAAATAAATGCAAAATGGACAAATATAGATATATTTTGAAACATTGTTTCATTTCACATCAAAACGTGATTACTGTGAGATTGGAATGCAAACAGAAATTGGAATTGAAAAGGAAACTAGGCGATGGATGAGTGTGTGTACCTGGAGATGGAGTGAGATTGCAAAAGAAAAGTGGATCTGCAATTAAATTTGACTTTTATTAAAAAACAGATAACGAAAAAGTTGTTTTTTTGTTACCTTTGGGATCCGTGTTGGGACGACATGTAAATTCTGAATGTTTTGTACAGCGACTTTACTAATCCATTATTATATATTTCTTAATATCAACTTAATCCCTTTAATTATAATGTTTTGTTGCTTACTGTGATACGGTGAGAGAACTGACTTGAGGTTTTGCGTTTGTTTTCGCACTTGTGCGGTTGAGCAAGAGTCGCCACCGACTTTTTATTTTATCCTAAAGGAAAGGTTAAAAAAGCACAGCAAAAACCTTTTGAGATATTTCGTGGGTTCGGGGGTAGATTATGAAAAGGGAAGGTATTAGCACCCTCTTCATCCATGGTTATCCATGGGCTCTTAGTTACTTGGTTTTTTAGATCACTTGCCTTGATTTTTGATTGCTTGAAAATGGTGTATGTGTGAGTGTTTTGAAAATGTTTTTGAAGAGATGCCTTGTCTTAGGCGACCAATGTATTTGACTCGTGTTTGAGTGTTTTACAAAAGTGTGTATCTTTTCGAAAAGATGTTTCAAATGTTTTTGAGAGTTTGTTTGAAAGTGTTGTGGATTGTGGTTTTTGAAAAGAAGGCAAGTGTTTTTGCAAGTCGATCTCAAGTAACTAAGAGTTTTATCTACCCTATTGTACTCAAAGGTTTTTGTCATGTTTTAACCCTTTTTAACAATTTTGTTCCACCATTGAATTTGGTGGACAATCTTGCGTTTAGGAAGTTTATTCGGGACGGGCGCGGGTCATCGTATGGACCACGAATGCAAGGATGCCAAGTGTCTTTGGCAATTTGCTTTGAAGGGACTATGATCATTCCGTTTAGGCAACATTTTGAGGGACTTATGATCATTTTGATTTTGTTTTGCCAAAGATTCTCGACGTGCAAGCATGACCCATTTTGGAAGGCAACATGTGGGATTACCCTAGAGGGTGCGAGTGTGATTGTGTATTGATTTCATGTATTTGTCTTGTATTAGGTTATCTAGCGTTTGATTTTATGTACATGCAAACCCTAGGTCTAACCATGGTATAATTGAAAGCGGTAAATTGCGAAAATGTAAAATCTACGCTATTACAAAATAAGTATCCGGGAGTGGGGGTACATGTGTATGAATGGGGATGAGACTTATAGTATCCAATAAGTTACAACCAAATCGAATTTGCGATCAAATGTAAATATCAATGTATAAGTAAATGTGTATAGGGGCAATGTGAATGTATTGTGTAAGTATGAGATATATTGTGTAAGTGATTATTTGCATGTGCGACAATATGAATTTAAGAAGGTATTGTTAGGGTATTGTTTTAAAGAAAAATTAAATGTCTATTTAATTTAATCAATGATCTCACATTTTTTTTAAATATGTACAAAAGAATGTGTTTTAATTGAATGTTTTAAGTTCTAATTAAAAAAATGATGTTTTAAAAAGAAAATATTTCTAAGTTTTAATTATGTATACAAAAAGTATTTTTCATTTGTTATGTACAAAAAGAACATTTAAAAGAAAAAGGTATTTTCAATTTTTATTATATTGTATATAAAAAAAAATGGTTCTATTTGTATGTGCAAAATAATTTAATTAAATTTATTAGAGTTATGTATATATAGAAATATGTTTTTAAGTATTTTTGTAGCAAAGTACTATTGCCATACTTTGTATTTTTATTTAACTATGTTTGTATAAAAATAATATTATTAGTGTAATAATAGGATGCAATTAGTAAAAAAAATGGTTAATAAGGTGTTAGAAGATGTTTTGAAAAGAATGGGCTTGGTCATTCAGAATGGGCAAGGCCCACGTTTGGGGTTCAGTAACGTTTTAGGGTTTAGAACTTTTTGTTTCAATTGGGAACATGCTATAGGGTTTGTACAGCGGCGCGTTCATGGAGGTTTCATCTTCTTCACCCGTTCTTGAGTGTCCAGCGTGAGCCTTTTGCCTCAGCCACCAGCGATCTCCATTTCCCCTTCCCTCCAACGATAGCGTCAAGGCGACAGAATTAGGTAATCACATTAATTCGTTAGGGTTTGCTATAACTGTGCATGCTATGATTGTCTAATCCTGTTGATTTTAACTTCAAGCTTTCTTCAATGTTTGTTTGAGGTTTTGAAAGAAGGAAAGAAGGAAAGAGGTACCTTTGGAGACGGAGGAAGGAGATGAGGAAAGCTAGGAGGCTCGATGGCGAAGAGGGCGTGAAGACGCTAGCTTGCTATTTGGTATTTCTGTATTTTGTTACCGTCTTTAAGGTTTCGTGATGATGGCTTGACTGAAAACCTAATCTCTTAGATTTACCTCTTTCTTCTTCTCTTTCGCCTTTACTGTTTGTTGCCTTGAACGCTTCTCTCCTCTTCTGACTTGTTGTCCTGAACGCTTGTTGTCTCGAATGCTTATTGCTTTGATACTTTGCCCTATGATGATGCAAATCTGAGGGCTCTTATTTCCTTTGTTGGATTGCCTATGTTGTTGCCTTGAGATGCCTCTGTATCTTCTTTGCCTTCTTGTGTGCTTGCTTCTCTTGTTACTTCCTTGCCCAAGGATGAACCTAGGGTTCTGAGGGCCTCGCCTGTATGCTTGAAATGTTATTGTTGCTTCTGAACGAATTTTGGTTTATGTTGCCCCTGAATACTTTCTCTCTTCTTCTCTTATTGCTTTGAGTTGGATGCCTGGATTAATTTTCTTCGTACGTTGGTTTGATGGCCCGATGATGAAGAGATTCTAAGGGTCTAGAGTTGGTTGGTTCTGCTAGTGTGGGTTATGTCTGGATTGAATGGTCGATGTTTTTGAATGGTTTTGGCCAGGTTTTGGTATTAGGCTTGAGGTTCGAGTTTAGGTAAGGCTGATGCAGGTTTAAGGTGTTTGATAGCTTCAGCTGGTATGGTTCTGCTTGTGAAGTTGAGTTTTATGATGGGCAGATCTTTTTGAGCTTTAGCAGGTTAATCATGTTTGATGTAGGGGATTCTGAACTTGCTGACAGGTTATGAAGTTTTTGACTTGCTTCAGGTCAGGACTTGGTAGCAGGTTTTTGGTATATCAGTTTGTAGCATGCTGGCATATGTAGGTTTGGGCTTCAGCATGTTATGCTCTTCAGCAGGTTTGGCTTCTGGTTAGGACTTATGCAGGTGGTACTGGTTTTTTGTAGTGCAGTAGGCAATGGTTGAAAAACTGGTTTGAGTTTTGGCCCTCTCTATTTGTTTATGCAGTAGCAGTTTTTGTATATTTTTTTCTTTTTGCTTTGGTGAAAGTTCTGTTTTTAGCCTAAAGCCTGAACCCTGCTTCTTATCTCTCCCTCCTTCTCTCTCAGTACAGTTGGATATGTTATAATATGTTTCTTTTCTGTACTTTTTCTGAAAGGGCTATCCTGATGGGAAATGATGATAAAAGAGTTTGCTTGCATAAAAGATTTCCTCTGCATATTTTATCTTTCTTTGATAGCTTTGAGTAGACTTTGGCATTTTTAACAGCAAGTTGTACTTCTTTATCTTCTTTGATATCTTTGTGCAGTAATTTGTCCCTTTTGGATTTTGACAGAAAGTTGCATTTTGGATTTTTCAGTTTGGTTTGAACTTGCTTCTGAACTATGCAGTTTGACATTTTGAACTTATGCATTTTGACATTTTGCATTCATGATTAAATGAATAAAATTCTTTCCTCTTTGTGAACCGGGAGAAATCCCGTGATTTGCAGAGAGGGTTAACTGATCCCAATCAGTGGCCCTTAATGATGAATTTCTTCTGTCGTTCATTATTTTATCTGCTTTTTGACTTTTCTCTTTTCTTTTGCAGGTGAAAAATGGAGCACCGGAGCGAAGTGAAGAATGAAGAATTAGGGACTTAGAAAATGTTTAGAAAAAATAGGATAGTTTTTATTTTTAATTTAATTATTGTAAACTATTATTATTTTAAATACTTCGTAAATAAATACTTGTATCCAAATAATAATTGTAACAAATATTAAATATGAAATAAAAATTCTATTGATTCATTTAATTCTTTTCAATTCCTTTTCAAATATTTACTTATTATTCATGGTCCCTTAAATTAAAATAAATGAAAATTAAATTCCAGATATTTAATTCTTAGAATCATAAATAATCAACTAAACATTGATTCTTCGTTGATCAAAATAAATGAACTTGACGTCTCCATCATCCAAAGCAACGCACAGTCGAACGCAATAACTGATCAGACGTAATCCTTTCTCACTGATTTCTTACCAAGCACTGTAAATCCAAACTGCATATTTCTTTTGACTGGCTCAAACAAACCAACGTGAATTCAAACCAACTGCCTCTTTTATTGATTAAATCAAAACAATGCGAATTCAACCCGAATCTTGGAATAACTTGCAAAGTGCTGTAGAATTTTAATCTTTCTGAGAATATGCCCATAAAACCTTAATTTCTGATTAAATGCCAAAGAACGTCCACCTGATCAAAATTGAGTCAAAGTCAACCAAAACCCTAAGCCAACTGTGTGAGACATTCCGGAGCCTTGAAAATTAGTAAAACCCCAATTGTGTCCTGACTGACGAGAAAAGTTCGTTTGTCCGATTCTTGAGTCAATCCGAAAAATCAGGAAACGCCTGAAGCTGAGATTTCTTGTGGTAAAACGCGAGGGCAAATTTTGGGGTACAACAGTTGCCCCTGTTCAATCTTCTTGGACCTGAAGAGTTAGATTGGCAAGTTTGCCTTTCGTGACTTGAAGGTAAAAGAAGATTGGACACTAAAGTGCCCAGAAAATTTGCACTCGGCGACATGATGGTAGAGGTGAATGGGCTTAAAGATGCCATTTGGTGATGGGCTTAAAGATGCCATCTGGAGAGGTGACAGATCTTCGTCGGGAATGGGCTTATAGATGCCATTTGGTGATGGGCTTAAAGATGTCATCTGGTGACTGCTGGTAGGAGGATGGGCTTATAGATGCCATCTGGTTATGTTGAACTGTAGGTCAATGGTGAGTGGACAAGTATCAGAAAGCCACCCATGTTTTGGAACATCTCTGAATCGGGGGTCCGAATAAGCAACAGATTGACGTCCATGTCTGGAGAATCCGTAAACTTATTTTCAGGAGTTGAGATTGAATAAGCAATAGAGCGGCATCCGTTGTTGGGACGCGTCCGTAAACTGTTTTCAAAAGTTGAGAAGAGTCTGAACAAGTTGGTAGATTAACATCCGTTGTTGGGAAGAATCCGTAAACTGTTTTCAGAAGTTGAGAAGAGTCTGAACAAGTTGGTAGATTAACATCCGTTGTTGGGAAGAATCCGTAAACTGTTTTCAGAAGTTGAGAAGAGTCTGAACAAGTTGGTAGATTAACATCCGTTGTTGGGAAGAATCCGTAAACTGTTTTCAGACGTCTTGAAGAGGAACCGGTGTAGGGTTTCCTGATGATGAGCTAGTGTAAAGCTGCATTTGGATGAATCTGGAATAAGTATCAGAAGGTCGCCGTGTCCGGGTCACATCTGAGTATACTTGGAAGATGATCTTTGTCTGCCGACTGATCTTACCTGAAAAGGTAAAGGGTTAGTAGTGTGCAATGTTATGATGCATGATGTAATGTATGTGACATCAATGTTTATGACATGAATGTGATGAATGTGCGTGTAAGCTGATGAGTTATCTTGCTGAGGATAGATGTATCCTGGATGGCTGAAAGATACAAAAATCTTGATTGCTGCCGGGGAAAATAAATCCTTGGCTGCTGCTGTGGAGGAGAATTCCTGATGACCTCTACTGGGGAGTTCTAAATTTGCCCTCCCAAAACTCTGTGGGGGAGAAGGTTCATTAGTCTGGCTCCGCTAGGGACTGATAATTTGAAGTTTTAGCTTTGCTGGGGATAATGAAGCTTGACTCTGAGTGGAGTTAGCTTGAGAAGAATCTGAACAAGCGATAGGTTAACATCCGTTACTTGGAGAACCTGTGAACTGTTTTCAGAAATCTTGAAGTTGAATAAGCAATAGAACAGCATCCGTTGTTGGGAAGCGTCCGTAAGCTGTTTTCAAAAGTTGCATCTGAACAAGCTGATAGATTAA